GTTAGAAGGAACAAGAAATTGCCGTAAAGTATAAATCCTATTAACAAATAATCTGGATCAAAACGTGTTCATGTTGCCACTAATGCCTGGTCACAATGAGCTCCCTATCTCGTAAGGAAAACTGTTCATTCTACTTGATAATGGGTATATTTCTCAAGGGTACGGCTGTGACCATATTTGGCACAGGTCGTATAGGATGGCATGATCGCCAAGACGAACACCTAGCCACTTCCTAGCCATAATAATTGATAGTCAACCTTAGGGTCAAACAGGTTACAATAGGAAAGGGAAAAATTCCCTCTACGTTAAGGATTACCCCCCATAAATATATGAAAGTTAAACCCACTTAGGATAGATAACCAGGGCCGTTTCGATTACTTAACACTGAATACTGTGTTGTGGGAGCAAGTAAAAATTTGAAGCTGTAAAACTCCATCGAAATATGATCAGAAACATAAACAAGGAAGTTATGTCTCGCCAATACACTGATCCCTTTTCAACTTCTCAAATGATATCTTTAAAAGATCGTTTATCTCACAGTAGATTAGAACTCAGAAATGTAAGCTGTCTGTGGATAATCGTTCTCGGAATCTGACATTTAAGAGATGCAATCTACTGATCGTTTGAACTGCTGCACTGAGTTCCATTCCACTATTTGTTCTGGCCAACCGTTCCAGACATTTATCACTCGCGGTTCCAAGTAGAGATGGAAAACTCGCTTCAGATCTGGAACCACAATTTTTGCTTGTGTCCGCGTGTGCTGCAATGCGTTCGCAAGTGGAGCAGGGGTCTTAGCATGGGGAAGTCGCCTACATGTAGAATCCGGTAGGTCATGATGAAGTCGACTCGCACAAGGCGATAGGTCAGTGTGCACAGTCCCAGCTTCTCGCACCTGTTCTCGTACGGTAAGGCTCGCAACCTGGGGATGAGCCTAGTAGCGACGTAGTGAACCCGTTCAATCTTCCGCGTCTCGCCGCGAGTGGTCAGGCAGTAGGCCGGCGAGCCGTACTCTAGCCTTGGTCTGGGGATGGAGGAGAAAAGGCGAGTGGCAACCTCTTCAGACCTGATGCAGAAATTGCGTTTGATTGCCCAGGGCATACGCGGTCCTTTACGATATTGCGGACTACAAGTCGCAGCGTGAGAGTACTCACGGATCCTTCACGGAAGCTGTGGGATGTAGCAGTTGGCCGTCGAGAGTGTACGCTTCACAGTCAGCACTCTTCCCCAGGCTCATGCATACTGACTTGGATGGGTTGATAGGGAGGCGCACTTCTGCAAACCACATGGATAGCCGGTTTAGGTTTTGTTAAAGTAAGCCGCGGTCATCGGATGTGCTTATCACTCTCCAGATCTTCAAGTCTTTTGCAAGCAGGGCACACGGGGAGCAAAGAAGCTTAGGTATATCGTTGATGTAAATCAGAAACAATATAAGCCCCAGTACCGTGCGTTGGGATACGTCACTGGTCGAAAGATACTAGTCGGTCGTTTGGCTATCCACTTGCGCGCTACATTTTCGTCCAACCACAAGGTCCTGGATCTACTGGTGCAGAGATCCATCAACGCCACACGCTCTCAGCTTGAGAAGGAAGATCTCACTTTGTCGAGTGCTTTGCTGAAATCGATGATCACGTCGACAAAGTTCCCCCTAATTCACTGCTTGCATGCATTCATGTACCGTCACCAGCAGGTTGGTGATGCACAAACGCCTAGGCATGAAACCGTGTTGTGCATGCGTCAGGAAATCATTTGACCGAAACAACTGCTGCAAAGGCCTCGTCACAATCTGCTCTACAACTTTGGCCAAAATAGGTGTCAGAAAATTGGTCTGTAGTGGTCCACTTTGCTGGGGTCACCGCCTATCGGAATCGACCTTACCACCGAACATTTCCAAGCAATCGGCAATGTGCCTTCGGACAGAGACCTGTTGAACAGGTCAGTTACGGCAGGCGAGATGATGGCTGATAAGGATTTGAGAATCAAGGTGTGGAGCCCGTCAGACGCAGTACGCTTGCTACCGTCAAGATTGTCGAGTAGCTGACGCACCTCTTCCACACCACTATCCAGACTGTCGAGTTCGGTAAGGGTGGTGCGCACCAAAATCGGTACAAGTACCTACGCATTTCCGAAAATTGAAGAACATTACGCTGCCAAGGTGGATGTATGATCAGTGCTGGAGATTAGTTGCCGTCCGTTCGCGTCCTCTATCACGGGTAATTTACTGTTGTCGGCCATAGGCGCTGCTTCACATAGGCAAAGATGCTTTTCGGAGCGGTTTATGCTGAGGTTGCAAGTTGCTCTTTTAAATGCCTGCGCTTTTTCATTTTTTCACCGTGGCAGCTATTTCGCTGCTTTTTACACACCTCATAGTCGTCGCCCGAGTCAGAGATAAGGAATTTTTCCCATGGGCTGCGCTGTTGTTGAGCCAGCTTACCATATTTTTTGTGGCTTGACGGGTCCAACTTTCCGAGGCTTGAGAGGCACAAATTGGTTACAAAATGACTTTATACAGTTCTTTATAATTGACCAGCAAGCACCAGCAGATGCAGATACGGCAGAAATAAATCCACTTGGCCCGTGGCTCAAGTCAAGCTGTCGAAATCCGTCTTCCAGTAGCTGTGATCTGGATACAATGCGTGGGATTGCTGCAGGGGCAGTTCCAAGTTGGCAACTAGAACTGAGTTGTCGCTGGCTGCCAGAGGCTACAGCATCCGAATGTCCCACACAGGTTGTTCCCAGCTGGTTAAAATCAAGTCTAAGCACGATGGAGTTTAGCGCGTTGTTATGCGCGTCGGTTGGCACATGTGTTTTGCTACCCCAGTTTCAAGTACCATATCAGCGAACTTTGCTTCGGCCTCACAACAACCGGTGATATGTGAAACTTCAGGCCGGCATATTCGAGGACAACTGAAATCGCCTATGAGTAGAAAATGACGGCGACTCATGTGATTTCCGAGACGTGGCAGCCAATCCAAACAACGGCTCAGGGGTAGATGAAGGTGGATGGAGCTCCACACTGCTCGCATAGGTTATATTCGCTTTGGTGGACGCTCACGAGTATCCCACACAGAAGACCGGATGTAGAGCAAGACGCCACCGTGGGCATTCGATAGCCTATCACAGCAGAAGCAGGAGTAGCCACTGAGCTCAAATTCCTGGGTGAGTACCTCATCGTTCAACCACCTCTCTGCCAGTCCAATTACATCACGTAGCTCGGAAGCAACGAAACGGCGCATCTCATCGCGCTTGTTCATAAGACTGCAGACGTTGGTAAAGGCTACACGCAAACTATGGTAAAAGCGACCAGATGTGCCTCTAGAGTGAGCGACCGCGTTATCCAAGTTCGCCTTCGAGTTGCAATCAACCGAAAATTTACTATACGTAGGTTCGTCTCTCCCTCACCAGTCCATCGCTTTAGCTCGATGATGGCACACTTGAGGCACTTTCGTTCAGCTGGATCGATATCCGGTTGAATATGCGCCATATCGCCTCTCAATCTAATCAGCCGAGACAATGATAGCTTCGGGTTGGCCTCGTCGGCTTAACTTACCTGCATATGTCGGTATTACTCAGCAGTGGTTTTGCCGAGGCGGATGACTTGCTTCACTTCCGGGTATCACACGTTCAGGGCTATCTTAGTTTTTAGTATCAGACCTGTGATGAAACAGCACTGCTATTCACCATGATCTGCTTAGAAACATAAAAATATTGATGATCAGGATAATTCGGATAATGCTTAGGTGATTTCCTTGTTACGGAAACTGTTATTATGTTTGCCAAGTCAATTTACAATGGCCAACTCGAATAGTGTGTTTTTGAGAGTAGAGAAAAAAACCAGAAAGGGGTGTAATTTTAAGTTTGGCTGCCGCCTTAGACACTCAACGAGGGATGCAGTAAGCGATACTTACAACCTTGTAAAAGAATGGGTGGGGAATTTCAAAAAAGCTGCTGGGGTTTCACGCATAAACTGAAAGCATCAGAGAGCCTAATATATTCAAAGAACTGCAATTGCGAGTTGATCTCAACGAAACCATCAGGCTTCATCATTCATCATCATTATAGACATTAGCTAGAGTTGAGAAACACCTCATCTACTGTGCCGCAACACCATCAGGCTTCAGAACAAAAATATACGAGCGTTTGGATGGTATTGTTGTAATCACTTCCCTGGTGTTATTAAACTACAGTTGACTCTTACACCGGATTTTCCGCCGCATGGTCTATGCCCAAGCCACTTGCTGGGCAATCAGTAACACCGGTCGACTAAAGCATATATATCGCGGTTTTGGTTTGTTATTTCTAAATTATATCTATGGCACTCATATATGTTGTTTTAAGGCAACCGTTTGCTCAATCGTAGCTTATCAGCTGGCGATAAATGGCTTTTGTGACTGACGTCAGCTTACCTACTAGATGTTGGTGTTAAAGTAATGCGGTACCATATAACCTTAGAACTACCTTATAAAACGCTAGCTAAGAGCATGAAACAGTTGACCAAAGCATAATACAGATTAACACGACAGATGAGACGATTGCCTAGGTGATGAAATTAATGTAATGGATTTATTAGCAAAACACCTTAAATAAAATAAACCTATTTTCCTCGTATTTGCTTGTACTACGTAACTTATTCCGTATGGAGGTGTCTGACTTTCGCCAGCAGTAAGCCAGTATGCTTCTGATGACATCAGACCTACCTCTCCAAATCAGATGCTAAGGTTAAATGTTCATCTTTATGGTTCTGTTGACGTAACACACAAATCGATGGTCTGCTCGAATGTTACATGACTGAGATCTTCTTTTGCGTAATTTTTTCATAGTACTTAATGTGTAATTCTAGGCCCCTTACATTACACTAAAAAATCGCTACCCGGTTAGGAATGATCGGCTATGTTATCATTGCATAGGAAAAAGTTACTTCATAAAAAATGGTTTTGAGTGAACATGTGAGAAGGATAAAGGAGCTTTATAATGAACCAATGTCTCCATGAAACCTTACTTACGATTGCATCCAAGGTCATGTACAGTCATGAACACTGGTTTAAGTGGAGTAATTTGTCCCTGTGAACCAGAGGAAATTGAAAATCGTATGTTAATAAATGCCGAAATTGGAAGCGCCAATTGCCTAACTCAAGAAATCGACCATTATTTAGTGGGTTCAGTGAAGTATGTGACAAACTTCTACTAATAAACGTAAAATGGTTATAGAGCTTCAAATGCGGGGGATGTAATTTAGGTAATCAGATGAGCAACGCTTAATAAAGAATAAAGGTGTTGCCTTTAAAATGGAAAGTAGCAGAATTTTCCATTGGCAAAGATGACAAGCTAAGACTTGAACGACACAGAAATGCTTGAGATTAAAACATTCCCTTTTGGCTCAGGTGCAACTAAAATTTACGTCTCTTCAGATATTAGTGTCGATAGACATATACATATAAGCATATGTAAACTAAGCATATATCTATGCATAAATATTAATGCTAAGTAGTCAATGAGGTAAATAGCTACCATATTTAAATTTCTTTCGGAAGTGTTGATGGAGGAAGTTCGTTTCCTGGCTACTTGTTAGCTTTAAAATATTGAATACTGCTTCGGATACTGATTATTTCCTAAATATTATCTTGTATACTCAGGGATAAACCATCTTAGAATTTATGCTAATCTTCCTATTCCCATCATTAGATACTGCGATGTTCAGTGTTAAGTTTTTGATTGCTCGTCATGTTGAGCACGAGTAAAATCGAAAAGCCTCCCCGCCTAGATATTGTTTAACAAAACTAAACAGTAGAACATCTATATACGCAGAAAGCCACTATGTGATGGCACTTAAAGGAGACGTCCCACTAACGAGACGGCGTGTGTGCTAAGAATATTTACATTACGTCATTATTTACGAACCGATGAACACGTGATAAGGGCAGTGCTCTTGCTGACTAGTAATAACGATCGTGCTCTCAGCTTATAGTAGAACCTTAGAAAGGCGTATGATAACTTGATCCTGTATGCCCCGTATGTTTGTGATCGATGACGCAGCATTTGCAAATTGATGGTAAATGTAGGGCAAAACCATAGCTTTCAACCATCGACAATTTATATCTAACTCTATTAATGCACAATTATTTCCGCCAGAGCCACAGCGAGCGCACACAATGTATGGGATAAGTAGTCCAGCGGTTTCTGAAATGACATTATCATCCCATAGTTTTCTAACTTTTGGCACCCGCGGTATATTCGTAAACTTCAACAACACTCAACAAACAACGTCCTCGATCCGTTTATATCGCAAGCTAGATAACATTTTAGAAAACTATAACCAATAACACCAAGATCACCATCCAAGTATATTAGTTGATACAGGCTGTTCAACTTAGTGGCAAGGATACAGTGTCTTTCAGATGAACAACAGCAATCTGCACAAACTCCACTAATCCACAGACCTCATCATCTGAATAATAACGCAGAGATAAGTGACAGCTAACTACCAATATCTTAGCAATGTCAGAAGAGTAGTCGAGTGCAGCGGGAAGCACGCTCTCAGAACTTTTGCCAGCAAAAACCCGAAGCGCTGAAACTGAAGTGATCACTACATGGTGGTAGAGACATTCAGCACCACCACCTGTGACAAAGTGTAGGACTTAAGGCTTCCGCGTGCAGCACCGAAAACGATATCAGGATAAGCAGAAGAAATCCGACCAAATATTTAGGCACAACACTCCGGAGTATGACCCCGACTCCCGCGTCTCCAAATAGGCAAAATCCTTATTCGTGCACCGCCGAAATAAGCAACACAATAACGGTAGACCATACGAACTCGCACGTACACGGTCACAACCTCTATCCGTCACAACTGATAACCCACGTACCACCAGCCTCTACATCAGTAAAATGGTAGCAGTTTACTCAGAGCGAAAATAACTTTGGACTTTAGTATTCCTTACATCTGTATACTATAAATGTAAGTCCGTTTTTAAACCAGTCGGCCAGTGGCCGAGTGGTCTGCGCGTTTGGTTTGCAATCATAAGGCCACCGGTTCGAGTCCGCGTTGGGGTGGGCGTCCTCGCGGTATACTCATCCAGCGCGCGACTGATGATGGTCGCGCGGCAGCGAAGCACCGTTACGGCGTACAGCTGACATTTTATTTTATTTATTTATTTATATCACTCCCAATATATATTTATATCCCCTCACCAATCGAGGCACCATCACACTTCATGATGGGTCGAAGAATTGTCTAGTTACTGTAGTACTTTATTCCAGTACCTTGTAGAGCACAGAATGACTTAACCGCCACACAATACACATAGTTTAGATACTGGTATGAAGGGTTCAACTTTGTGCACTAGTTTTATTCCAAAGTTGCAGTCTAACAATTCCGTAATTAGTAACATTCTCTCCATTTTACTCAAATTGGAATTACTTTCGACGCATATGTTTATGTGATCCCCTGGTGTTGCTTTTATTAATGAACTGTGGTACACATCAGAAACTAGTAACTCCCATGCTATCATCTTTTCCGAAAAGATCGCACACACAAGCGTTACGCTGTCTGTTCTATACACCTTCTTAATGGTCATGCTGCTATTCCTGCTCATCAAGATGCACTCAGCGACCTGGAAGATACACTATCGCTAGCGATAGAATATATTGAGTTTCTATACCAA